CAGAACCCTCAAAGCCTGGCTCTGGGGCGGGAAGCCTCCCTCTTTCAGGCAAGCCGTCTGTCCGTGAGAAGAGGCAGTGGCCAGAGAAACAGGAGCTTCCCTCACTTCCTGCTGCTGAGAGAGATGGTGCTACTCAAACTGAAAAAAAGCAAAACCCTCACTGCCATACTGCCCTCGAGTTGACTCTGACACATATCGAGCCTATAGGGTAGAGTAGAACTTTCCCTGTGTTTCCGAGGCGGCAAATATTTATGGGAGCAGAAAGCCTCATTACCCCCACCCCGAAGTGACTGGTAGGTGTGAACCACTGACCTTGTGGTTAGCAGCCCAAGACACACCCTACCATCAGAGCTCTTAGGAGACTACTTAGTTGGAGGCAAACCCTGATTGGACCTTCTCTCTCACTTTAGGTGAAGAAAAAGACAGGCTGCCCTCCCACTCCAGACAGGTGTGCTGCTCCATGCCAAATCCTTCCACTGGTTCTGCCTCCACGGCCAGGGAACTTCCTAGATGCCAAGGGTACCACTCAGATGCAGTCATTCATCCAGGCAGAGCTCCAGATGGCATTTCCATCGGCAAGTTTCCCCCCTAGGCAAATTGAGTTTTAGTCTGAAACGGTCAATGGATGTACTGTGCCTAGAGAACCAACATTTTTTCCTTGGGGGGGAGACTTTCAGAAAGCCAGTGGCACCATTTTCAAAATGTGGTTTCTATATTAAGTATCTTTAATCTCGAACTCCATCTAACCGCTGCTGCGCGGGGTTTATCCAACTCATTTGGGGGCAGGGGGGAGGGAGGCAAAACTGCTTCCGTTTAGACTGGAGGAAAAATGCACCTGGACCCAAAAAAGAAGGCCGGGCACCCTCAGCTAGCCCTTTTTGATTTCCCGAGCCAGACCCGTGTCCTAAGAAGGGCTCCGTCTTGTGTGCCTCTCTGTTAAAAGAACTGCTCTATGACAATTACTGGAACATGACCAAACAGCAGTGTTGTAACAATCAAGCAAGTTATCATTTGCGAATAAATTCTTTGTAATTAAGCAGTGTGCTCTTTATAAAGGGAATTGAGTGGGCGAGTTAAAAGAGTTAAAACACATTCTTAGGCCATGGGAAAAATAGGCAAATGCTTTTTTGACTGAGCTCAAGATTTTTAAATTTATTGTGTCCCCCTTCCGCTCTGATGGGTCTATCCGGCCCTGTCTGTTGTGTAGAGTGGATGAGCAGAATTGCTAAGCAAAGAATGACACTGCGTGAGTCATCTCTCCAGGTGAAAGAGGCCTTAGCAAGCTGTGTGGCAAAGGCTAACGTAGGCCTGTAAGTCCCCGGGTTGCGAACACCCGACTTAGGGACAACTCAAACGGTTGTCCTTAAATGTTATGCGAACATGCCCTCTCTCTGAAACCACTGAACCAGCCCCTGCTCACAGTAAATGCTTCATGACCATCACCTTCACTTGCTGCCCATGCAGATTTTAAATCATTGGAAAAAGTTTGGGGAGCCTTTTCTTGCAGGACAGGAAGGCTAAATTAAGAATGAGACACACCTATTCCAACTTACCTATAAATTCTACTTAGAGACACGCTTAAGTAACAGGCCTCCTTCATCACCTGGGACTCTATCTGTGATTTTATTTCCTACTGTGAAACTCTGCTCAGTTTTAGGTCTACAGCCAAAACTGTGTCTATGAAAGAGGTACTGCACTCATTTCCCATCAGTTTCTCACAGGGGCTCAGCACACTCTATGACTATTTCCAATCAGAAGGCAAGTACTTACTTCGAGGTTCCCGGGGTCCGTCCACGGTAACTTTAATAGCTCTGTGATAGGTGGCTACTTGGGGAGGATTAGTGAAGACAGTTATGGTCAAGGTGAAACTCTTGCCTGTAGAGGGAAAAGGAGGGAAATCCACAGTGAATGTCAAAAGACAGTACAAGTGACAAATGGCATTTACAAAACTCTGGGGAGTAGGGAAGTAGAGGCTACGTGCAGAACCCCTCCTTCTAATTGGGAATCAGACCGTTAATAAACCCATGCATGGAGTGACAGACTCATCCTCTTGGAAGCACAACAAAGCTCCAATTCCCAACCCCACACCTCACCCAACCTCACCCGCCCCCAAAAGCTTAGTAGCAACAGTTGTCATGAACAAAAACTCGAGACGTCTTGGGGTGAGCTCTTTCTTGCAGCAGGGCTTCTAACCAGTCCGTCAACCCTTGCCGAGAATCTGCATTTCCTCCCCATACGTTTCCCCAGTTTAACAAGAGTCCCAGGTGAGTTTGACGGATCCCCTTGTAGCCCTCAAAGATCCCAAAACTCACTGCCATTGAGTCAATCGCCACTTACAGTGACCCTATAGGACAGAGTAGATCCCTGTGGGTTTTCAAGGCTGTAAATCTTTACAAGAGCAGGAAACCTCATCTTGTTCCTGTGGAGTAGGCTGTTGGTTTTGAACCGCTGACCTTGTGGTTAACAGCCCAGCTCATAAACCCTTATACCATCTGAGTTCCTCGCAAAGATCCCCAAGTGAGTCTTACAGGCATGTGTATACATAAGAATCATGGGGCATCTTTTTAAATCATAGACCTGGTTGGAACTACAAATTCTCAGCAGGGAGTTGAAGGGGAATGAACCGGTTCAAAGGCCTGCCTTTCTGTTTTCCCCCATGGTCAGGAACACATCCAACCACAGACAATCTTAGAAGTCTTTATTTAGGATGAGGTCATGACCCCCTGAAAGAACAATAGTAAATCACTGTTGATTATGTTATTTACTTCACATGGCTTCAGCATTGCATTTGCTTAACTGCACCACAATAAGAAGATGAAAGAGGAACGTTCTTATGGGAATCATTTTAACAGGAGCTGGTGTCTCCTGTCCTGGCCTTAATGTGCCTGTGGTATGATGATGATTTCATCATTACTGGAACAAAGATCTCCTCCTCCCTGCTCTGCCCGCCCCCAACATACATCCCCGCTGGTCAATCTTGAAAGAGCTCCCTGACGGTGACTTATTTTTTTGCTAAATGTTCATGGCATCTCCTGATACAAACGTGCGTGTACTTTCAGCAGCACGTGTGTGCTTCTTGGGAATATGACATCTGCTCTTTCAAATTAATAACCGAAAGGCGATGAATACAGGAGGAGGAGGAGGAGGAGGAGGAGGAGAGAGAAAGGGGGTAAAAAAAAAAATGACAGGGCAAAGTATGATAGCACATTTGGATGTTTGCTTCCAGCCCCCTGCCCCTCCAGAAGACAGCAGACTCTGTTACACAGACTCACTGACAGTTGTAATCAGTTAGATTGGCAACGGTTAGTCATGTCAGATAGTCAAAACTGCAAACTGTTCCAAGACAGGAAGAGGTGGGCGTGAAACAGTGACTCAATAAAACATTCAGCAATCCCAGGCCAGAGCACTCGCGTAGTCGGCTCCTCTTAGAGGCCTCTAGAAAGCTCGGTTTTGTTTGCCTGTGTTTTCTGGTTAGACTCTTTTTTTTTCTCTTACTGAAAGCCGAGGCTATTAAATCAAATCACAAATCTTAGGACAGTATGTAGCAATACAGAATTTAATGCCATCTTTTCAAAACTTAATAGGGAACAGGTTATAGTCAACGCTTAATGGAGAACAGGTCTTTGGCTGTCAAGTCTAGTGAATGGGTTTTCTTTTCAAATCAGACCATGCAAGTTCCTAAAAAATGTGTTTCAGACACACATCACTGGTTACTGAGTAGATGTAGTTTTAAGTCTCGTTGGCTATCCATTCCCAGAGCCAAGAGAATGCCAAAGTGGGAAAGAAAAGATAGGACTGGGAGGTAGAAGGAGTAGGGTCTAGGTCCCCGGAGTTGTCTGAGTATTGGAATCACCTGGGCATCTGGTGAAACTCCAGATCCCTGGGCTCCTCCCTGTGGAGATTCTGATCCATCTGGTTGGAAAAGTGGGAACCCCAGGATCTGCGCCCTCACCAGACCCCAGGTGATTGCAATGATCAGGCCAGTTAAGGAGCCTAGGAAGTAGGGACAGATGGATAGTGATTAGAAACCTATAACGTGAAGGTTATCTTATTTCCATGATCTCGTTTACCTCTCCCCAGGATTGTCTCTGAATCCATCTCATTGGCCAAATGAGGAAATTGGAACCCAGAGAGGTTTAGTAACTCTGCCAAGATAGCGTCACTTCTAAGGACAAGATCAGGGCTAATCCTAGGGTTTTAGACCCTAAAATTAGGGCTCGTTCTTCTTCTTTTTTTTTTTACAATGCCTGTGTACCAAAAAATCTTTTTCTTTAATTAATAGATCATTTATTTCTAAATATGTCCCAGTCGGCTCTATTGAGTCCAATCAACAGTAAACACAAGGGGACTAATGTAATATTTTGTCCAGGATAATGAAAGCATCTATTCTTAAAGTGTTTGACCCATGTCATGTTCCATCTGCCATAGGCATTGGCTGTGGCATGGATTTAAGGGAATTTTTCAGAAGCTGACTATCAGGCCTCTCTTTCTAGTCTGAGTCTGGAAGTGTCCTTGAAGCCAGCCAGCATCATAGCAACACACAAGCCTCCACAAACAGGTGCTGGTGGCTGTGCTTCAGAGGCACTGATTGGCCCAAACAAAAACCTAGGTTTCTCCAACAGAAGGCGAGACTTGTACCAGTGAATTTCCACTCCCCCCTCTACCAAGATCCTTCTCAAAATCACTACAGGACATAATAGAACTGCCTTGTGTAGGCTTCTGAGAATGTCAAGTCTTTATAGGAGTAGAAAGCCTCAACTTGGCCCTGGCTGAACTTGTGGTTAGCAGTCCAACACGTAACCATTAACCTCTAGAACCTGACCGTGAATTTATCCAAACTTGCTCTGAAGATATTTCCATTTTAGATCGTGACAATGTTACTGGAATGTTGAAAGTCATCTAAGCTTCCCTCGCAGCGAGGCCAAATTCAAGGAAACACCTCGTGTAGGAATAAATGCCAAATATTATCAATTCACCCTTCGAATATAAAGCAGCCAAATGTTCAAAGCAGACCCCATTTTCCTATAAAGATGTCTTTAAAAAAGAAGTGGTTTGGGGGCTGGGGTGGGGGGACAAGTATTGAAGTATGCAGTCTTCGAAAAGCCAAATCTTAAATTCAAGATGTCCTTTAACAACTAAAACAAAAATCAAGAAGGTTCCTTCTGCTTCTTTTTGCCTCCTTGGAAGAAACATGTACCGTATTTACTCGAGTATAAACCCACCCGAATATCCGCCAAGGCATCAAATTTTACCACAAAAACTGCATTGAAAAATGTGCTGAAAAACTCAGCTGAAACATGAGTATCTACGGTGTGTAATATTGAAGAAACTCTCAGAGAACTACCCTACAACTCAGTAAATGGTTCTCCACTTTCTAGGCATAACGCATTTCCTAAGTCGATCACTGAGGTGGGTATTCACGATTTCCTTCAACAACAATTTTTTTTTCCCCCAAACCCCACTTTTTATCAATTTCCACCAGTGATTAAAAACACAGGCTTTTAAACTTAAAAATGCAGGCTCTTACTTAGGGAGCTAGCTCACACTAGGCAACTGTATCTTCTATAGTTCCTCTAGGAAGAGTCCTCCAATATGTCGTCAGGGAGCTGTCATGGATAGACCATGCCAACTATCCCGGGGGCTGGCTAGGAAGAGAAAGGAGACTGGGTAAACAGGCATTACATCCTAAATTGACACATGTGCATACTCTAGCTGCTGGAGGCCCTTATAACTACTTGTAAATTAAAGTAGCACATGTCGAATCCTGATCAAAAGGGGGCTGGGGGGGATATAATACAAAAATGACAAATTCTCATAAACTCTAGACTTTCTGGAGCCAGGGAGGGGAGATGAACCTCTGAACTGCTGGCCCTGAAATCATTTTCAAACCTGAAACAAGAAATATCCCCTGGCGTCATCTTGAAACTGAGCCCTGGTTTAGCTGAACTAGGAAGCAATGCTTGTCTTGAGTAGTATACTTTTTCCAGAATGATCCAACCGACAACATCACCTGGAAAGATTAGACAGGAACCTTAGGAGCCTTGGTCATGCCATGGTCATACGTGAGGCTGCTAACCCCGAGGCCAGCATTTCGCCCGGAAGAAGGAAGAGGAGGTTCTCCAATCGCATCAAGAGTGACAGGCTCAGAAACCCTAGGGGCAGTTTGGCCCTGGCCTCTAGGTCACCATGAGCCAGAACTGACTGGATGGCAGCGAGTTTGGTGGGTTGTTTTTTTGTTTGTCGGTTTTCCAGGGGCCGGAAGTTTATGTTAATGAGGGAGGAAGAACTCGTGAGGAGAGGGTGAGCACGGCTGTCCAAGTCAAAACACAGCATGGATGCCACTCAAAGGCGCAAAGAGAGGCTGTTGAACTGGCCGGTACTTGGCTGTGGATATTTTCCACAACAACCAGATAAATAAAATGCAGAAAGCACAGCAACGCCGTGGCCCAAAGTCACACACAAGAGGTCAAAAGGAAGCAAGCAGGCCAAGAAAATTCAAGGACCAAAATCATCCTAAAGACTTCCGTCTACCAATATCTAGGAGAAAAAAATGGAGAAGATGTTGAAAAACTCCTAACACACGTTTCGCGGATGCTCTTCTTTATTCCCAAACCTTTCTAAAGCCCCGCTCATCCGACAAGTCCATGAGCTGCAGCAAGCCATGATGGGGCTGACGCCTTGATACATCCCAAGACCATTTTCGATTTCTGAAAGTTTAGAGTTCTACCAGTGAAAAGAAAAAAAAAGAAGTCTAATATTTGTGGAAGTGGGCACTTTATTTCTCAATGCTACTGAAAAGAAAAGCGGGGGGAGAATGAAAAAGACAATAGCAGCATGTTGATCGGAACAAGAGCAACGTGGAGGTGAGGAAGCTGGACAGCGGTTGCTATGAAACAGGTCAGGTACACAGGTGGGTGAAAAGGTTGCCTGCCACTGAAAAATTGACCCTTTTATTTTTAAGAGTGGTATCTCTTATCAATGTTCTCTGACGTCGTTCCCGTCTGCATTTCAGTACGGTCTTGCTGGTTCCTTTCCTACAACGTCCAATGAATGATCTACAACTCTATCATTAGTGATAAATCAATTTTTCTTTCTCTCTTCACCCGCTTCCCTCCCCCACCCCGCCCCCCAATCTATGTCTCCAAGACAAGTCTGGACCAATTTCTCCATCCTGCCTCTGGCAGCAGACTGTAGCATTTCAGATCCTCTACCAAGTCCCAGCTGCTTCAAAGGAAAAATCCTACTTTCTTCAGTTAAGATCATAAGAAATATAGGGGGAGGGGGTCAGCTCTGTTTGGACATAATTACACTTCATCAAAAGAAGCTTTCTTCATCTTCCATGCGTGAAAAGTCTGCAAGCGGTTAAGTCTGTCTTTTTTTTTTTTTAAATATAAAAATTGCTATTTGGGAAACCAGCCAAAACTCAGAAAGCCAATATAGTAAAACAGTGCACACCCTTTGTTTCTCTTTGAAGTTCCTTAAATAAATATGTTGAGGGTTTACAAAGTACACTATCACTTTGCCATAGTTTCTACCCAGATTGATCCGAGAAAACGCAGGCAGCACCCATAAAATTGCAAAAGCAAGGGAAATGGAAACATGAGCTAGAATCCGTCATGTAAAATAATGTCTAGCCCCCAATCCTCTACATACTTGCACCCACTATTTCTGGAAAAATCAATTTAATATTAAACAAGAAAATAGTTGGAATGGAGAGCTACAGGTAAATAAATCATCTGGTGCAAATTTTCTCTTTTACCCCTTATTGATTGAGCTAGAATGAATATATCATACAATTCAATCATTCGATGTGATATATTGATGATTAGACAGAAGGGAAACGTTCATTGAACGGTGACCCCCCCCACCAAGGACTGACAAAAGGAATTAGTACGCACATGCGAGCGTGCATGCACACTTAAGCGTGTACACACCTTTAAAACCTGATTAGTCAAGGCTAAGATAGGACCGTGTGTTTTCTTTTAATGAGGAGAGGGAACCTGATTCAGAGGTAACTCCTACGTTTGCACTCAACCCGAGGTTGTCAGCCCCCATTTTATTTCAAACCACTTTTCAGTGACAGTATCTTATTAGCATGCATCATTTCTTTTTTTCTAAGTTAAAAAGTACAACCTCTTGGCCACGTTCCTAGAAAGTAAACTAAAACTACTCATCGGAAACAGGCTTGCTTGAATTTCTCTTATCGGGATTTTACAATGGTCATAATTTGCCATCTGATCCAAACTGAAGAGCAACGACCGGGCCTGGTTTAAGAACCAGGCTCCTCTTTCCTAAGCTGACCCCGGGCTTCTGAGATGCAGTGCGCTTTACAACGAACTGTATTTCACCTCAGCTCTGGATTTTGCTTCTTAAAATGAAAAGGAAAGATTCCATTAAAAAAAAATGAACACAAGACTTCTGAATAGGTGCCTGCCTCTTAAAAGTCCCCCTATAGAATAAGGAAATAAAAATTGAAATATTGATTTCCTAAAAAATAGTTTTGTTTGTTTTTTAATGAACCCCATAGGTGAAGCAGCTGTGAAAGCCCTACAAGAGAATGCTTTCTATTTTAGGATCCTTTTGAGGATTCTTAATAGATGAACTCAGGAGAGACGATGCGCCCCACTCTGGTAAAGACTCACAGTCTCAGAAACCCACACAGGCAGTTCTACTGTGTCTCACAGGGTGACTATGAGTCAGGCTGGGCTCGCGGGCAGTGAGCGCGGGTGAGTGAATAGATGACTGTGGATTCAAATGCTGCAAACCTTACATGAAGTGTGGGAATACTTAAGGGTCGCGGCATTCTTCTGTCGAGGCAAGTCTACAGGGTCATTCTCACCTAAGTAACACTATTAATTTAATGAAATTAAAAAAAAAAAACACCTTCCATAACAAAAAGTGGTATTTTTATAGAATCCTCTTAGGACAGTAAATGAAACCCTATAGAGGTAACGTAGATGATGAGTGAAGGGCATTACGCCAGGCGTTCTTGTAACAAATCAGAGAAAATCTGTGGATGATTCAATGCATATATTTCCTTTCCCCTTGGCCGCTCAATTGGCTGTCATTCCACACACGTCACTCAGCACTGCTCTCCCTCTGCTCCTCAGATGAAGAAGGCCCTTCAAAAAGTTCGTGGAGAAATGGAAGTCAAAGGTAAGGGACTATGAGTTCTCAGCATCACCTTGCAAACACAGTGCGCACGAACACACTCCAACTTTCATCTGGGCGTATGCCGCTAAGACCTTCAGCATTTCAATTCCACCAAAGTGGCTGATACGTATCTAAGCTCCTCGACATTTCATCCGGGGTCCTAATGTGCTTATTCCAGGATCCATAGTAGAAAGCAGAGACCTACCTCGTCCACTGCGGCCCACAAATCTCAGATCGTTGAACCTGGCTACTTGGTTTTTCATGACCGCAGAGGCATTCCGGAGTTCAGCAGAATAATTTTCATCGTTACCCGCCATGACAGTCACCACAGTCCCATCTGGTACCTCTCCGAGGGCTACCACCTACATAACACAGGAAACACAGCAGCAATAATGTCACAGCAGAAAAGCTGGAGAGAAAAAAACAACAGAGTATGTTCTCCTTGCGAAGGATGTGTCTCATCAGGGCTTGGCGCTCCGGTCCGGCAATGGCAGACAGAAAGGAGGCATCTGTGGATGGGCTCTGATGCCACTTCAAATAGACCGATGTGCCGAGGTCCACCCTTTTCAAAGGCAGGCGAAAGTTGCCCTTCATGTGCTATTGGAGCATTCACGGAATGCATGTATGCCTTTATTAGATCCCCATGTTCCTCATGCAGAGGAATTATGCCACAGACAGAGAGCTGCAGACTGCCCTGTACATATGAAGGCATTGCCTGTCTGCAGCCTGGAGAGCCCTGCGGTGTGGTCTCATCCACATCACAAGGTGAAGGGCAACTCTACAGGGGGAACTTGTAGGGGAACTTGGTGTCCTCAAACTCAGTGTAGTGTCCAAGCCTGCGTGCCACCTCCTGACTTTGAGTCGGGACATCTCCTGAATGTCCATCCTGCAGTGGGACAGGTGGGCTATCTGAACTCATCAAGAAGACCTGCCATCTGGCGTGGGATAGAGAGATGCGCCAGCTTGGAAACTGTCGATGGGTGGTATAGACAAGCATATATATATATTTAGCCACACTTCTATTTGCCTCCTCAATCATCAACAGTTCGACTGGGGCAGATGAGCAATAAGGAAAGATGCAGATTCAACGTGGCGGGTCATAAGCGTTTTTCACAATCCCCAGGCTACGGATTACACTTTTAACCTGGGTTAGCGAACTTGCACATATGTGCCCTGATCATCAGGAAGCCCAGTAAAAGGAGGCTGGTGAAGATCCTCCCCTGACAAGTACAAATCAAGTATCTTTATTCCGCTTCTAGATCCTTGTTCATCCTTCCTCTCAACTCACTTCCAGGACCATAGATTCAGATGACTTCCATGGCTGGCTTTCTCAGTTCCCAGGGGGCCGAATAACTAAGCCTTGGCTCCAGCTAAAGGAGTGCGCTGCTCTGGGACAGTAACACCTACGTGAACTTGGGTATGCAGCAAACATCCCCCTTTTCCTTCTTTCTAAACTAATGCTAGGAGTCTTGGCGGCAGAGTGGTTACTCGTTGGGTTGCAATTCCCAAGGTCAGAAGTTTGAAACCACCAGCCACTCCTTAGGAGAAAGATGGGGCTTTCTACTCCCAAAAAGAGTCACTGGCTCAGAAATCCACAGGGGCAGTTTTACACCGTCCTCTAGGGTCTCTGTGAGTCAGCGTGGACTTCATGGCATTGAGTTTGGTGTGCATTTGGAATCTCATGTTAGGCCCTTCCTCTGACAAGACTCCCATAAAGCAGACCTAAACATTTAACCCCAGGCTCCCAATAAACTTCGTACATGCTCTCATGGAAACAAAATTCTCACAGTGTGACAAAAATAACCATCGCTAGATGGAGATTAGCAGGACTCAACTGCTAACTCGAAAGGTCTGTGGTTAGAATCCACCAGCAGTTCCACCACGGGAGCAGAAGGTCTGAGGGTGGGCAGCTCTGCTTTGTCAAACCTGTCCCTGTGAGTCAGAATCAACTCCATGGCTCACAAGAGCAGCAGCAGCAACACTCTATTTCAGTGCTTCGATGCCATCCTCCATAGACCCTACCCCAACACCCCTCTCTTACGGCCGCTGCTCTAGCCGGGAAAACAACCAACCAAACAAGAAACTTGTCCTTTTTTTTTTTTTAATCTTTCTTCTCCTAAACTGTTTCTGAGTGTCATTCCTTCCTCTTAAAAACTTCCCCGATGGGTTTCCAAGGCTGCAAATCTTTACCAAAAACACGTCATCTTTCTCCCAAGGAGTGTCTGGTGGTTTCAAACTGCTGACCTTGTGGTTGGCAGCTCAGCTCTTAACCCACTATGCCACCTGCGTTCAGGTCAATATCAAAAGTGTTCCTTAACTTAATCTAGCACCTACTGTGCACAGCATGTTCATTTCAATATGCATATATGCCCTTGTACATGCCTCCAAATGTTTCGGGAAAATGGAATTGATAGATGACAATTGTTTTTCATGAACGTTTGAAGCCCCTTCCTATAAATTATCGATCCACTTCCCTTGATATGCTAGCCCAAGGCTGAGTGATTCATGCCACAGTTTCAGATTAGGTTAGGTTAGATGAGCAACTCAAAGAGAGAAGTCTCTAGACATCTTCTTCACCACTGTGCTCCCAGCTCCACAAACAGTGCCTAGCCCACCGAGTCATAAAACCAAACCGACAGAACAAGGGGAACTGCCCTGGTGGGTTTCCGAGACGATAACTCTTTACCAGAGCAGCAAACCTCATCTCTCTCCCGCCTAGCCCACAGTGCGTGATATATATATATATATATATATTTTTAATAACTAAATGTATGCACTCCATGAAGAGTCTCACTTCCCACAGCCACCAGTCTGGGGCTCCCCACGAAGACTCGGAGACAGAAAACTAGTTCAGGTTGAATCAACAGCCCACACAAGCGGCAACGTGCCCTTGTCCCAAACACACTACTTTTCTGATAACTTTTTCCATCTGAGAGGAGATTACGTCAGCTATCCTTTACCTAGGGGCTCTGGTAGCTTGGGCGGGGGCGTGGGGGTGCGCAGACGGGGTTCGAGGAAGGTAACACCTTGGACTGCTGTTTGCAAAGTCATCTAGACAAACCTCTAACCACCACTCAACGCGAGAGAGAAAGATGAGGAGGCCCACCACTCAACGCGAGAGAGAAAGATGAGGAGGCTCTCTGCTCCCATAGAGATTTACAGCCTCAGCACCCCCATAGAGGGAGGTCTCTCTCAGGTAGAATTGACCGGAAGGCAGTAGGTCACCTGTTCTCCTCTCCCTGGAATTTATACAGATGCTACTCCAGTGGGTCAGTCTCCCAGGTCAAGGGCAAAGCCTTCAGAACCAGAGTTCCTCCCAAGAGTCCAACCACCCTGCCTACTTGAACTGGTGCCTCAAATGGGCACTGAGGATAGGGTACTGGTGGACAAGGAACCGTGGTGGCACCGTGGCCCAGCGCTTAGATGCCACCCAAGAAGTCAGTAGTTAGAACCCACCAGCACAGAAAGCTGTGGCTGGCAGCCTGCTTCACAGAGAGTTATAACCTTGGAGACCCTCAGAGGCTGTTCAACTCTGTCCTAGAGAGTGGCTATGAACCGGGATTTCAGTCGACAGCCTTGGGTGACGGGTACCTCTGATGGAGGCAATGTGTTTTTCAACCTTGCAATGCCAAAAACGACGAACATTTGGAATTGCTGAAATAACGGACTCCCTTTGCCAGTATTCGTCTGAATCGCTGGCATTCTGTACACTCAGCATATTGTGTGTTAACACCTGCTGTGTGGCTTTCGATGTCAAACTAAATATGTAACCAATAAGCATATTCATGAAGGCAGAAGGAAATCGGCACTGTTCAAAAGAGAATAAAGGTCCCCCGAATTAAGAGGCCCACTTTTTCCCTCTACCTCTGCTATGATCTCACACAAGGAACCAGAGTTTAACCTTAGAAATGGGAAATTCATTCAAAATTAGAAATATTACGAATTTTTTCTCGCATTAGAAATACTAAGAGTTTTGTTTTTTTAATGTGTGTAAAATTTGGGAGGTACGACATAAATTAAGAGGGAGCCCTGGTGGCATAGTGATTATACACTGGGCTTCAAGATCAGCAGTTCAAAACCACCAGCCAATGCAAGGGTGAAAGGGTGGGGGAGCTGTCTACTCCCACCAGGGGCACAGTCGCAGAAACTCACAAGGGCAGTTCGACCTTGAACTATAGGGTCACCATGAGTCACCGTCAACTCGATGACAGTGAGTTTGGTTTTTCGGTTCATAAAATAAACCAGAGTGACATAGCTTTCATAGGACCCAGAAGCTAGCAGAGTGTTTGTTCAGACTGAAGTCTGGTGTGTGCTAAACATGGACTTTGGCTTCTGAGCATCCCTCCCGGTTTCAATTTAAGATGTAATCCTCTCCTTTAGGTCCTGAGATGTTCTCTGGTGGTGTTGAGAGTGCTCGGATGGCTGCAAGCTCTTACTCTAGTTTGGCTAGGTTTCAGAAAAAGGGGGAAAAAAATCAAGAAATCTGCCCCATTATAAAACTTTTCAAGAGCTCTGGGACGTTATTATTTTACTGCATATTTTTAACATAATGGACTTTTTTTTCTTCTTCAGTTAGAAGAAAAGGAAAATTTGTTCAATATGGGAAAATATGAAAGAGAAAGATTCCCTCAGAGTAAAATACATAAATTCATTTTACTCTGCTTAAGCAGTCTAATAATGACCCCATTAAGTATTGCTATGTTTTACGTATGACATTTAATAACACAATAAATAGATCATCACAAGTTGCGTGAGTCTTCTCTGAGCCTTAGGGCCGGGCCTGGGAGAAAGAAAACAAAACGAAAAACAAAACTCCCTTTAACACCATGTAGTGACAGCCTGGTCTGGCATGACTGAGCTCTAGTTTAATGGTTATGTATGTTGGTTTTTTTTATTTCTTCTTCTTCCTCCTCCTCTTCTTCTTCTGTTTAATGGTCATGCACGTTGGATTTTTAAATTTCTTCTTCTTTTCCCTCTACCATATCAGAGTGCCCAGTGTTACTCTGAGGAAAATAAAAAGGGGTGAGGATGTACTGCATTTGACTTTTCATCAATATAAAGTATAATGATATATTAGGGGGTGTGTGTGTTGATGTTTGTTTTCTTAAGTAAATCTCTGAGGTTAAAGAATGTTTCCCTTGGAGATTCTCAACTGTATTTATCTAAAAGTAAACCAAACAATCAAGAAATTTTACACATTTCATCCATACCAAACCCAAGCCATGGAAAACCCTTTTACCAAGTAGAATAAGTAGCCTGCAAAATTGCTGTTTTAACTATTTAGGCATCGGCGTGCCTTAAGATGTATCTCCATATTACACGATACAAAAGTACTGCTCTGCAGAGAAAACCTTAACA